CCAAAAAACTGATGTTGTAAGTCGGCATAGTACAGATTTGACGTGCCTCGCTGATACGCTTTCATTTTTTACGTACAATTTTATCAACCAAACACATTATTTTGGAAATTATAATGCGGCTGTCATGTATGATACATGCTACATCAAAGAATAATCACCGTTTTTCTTGATTCGATTAAACTGGATAGGAGATCATCTGACGCCTTTGGTATGTTCTATAGGGTTGTGTCGTTCTTTTTCATTTTGCTAGCATTTAGGTTATGTTTGTTTGCGTTGAAGTCTCCTTTGGAATGACAACGCAACTTCAGCCAAGTTCAAAGAAATGAGTCCCCGAAAGCTCCCTCCTATAAAATGGGGGCGTTTTGTGGAAAGTCTTATTTCATGTAGGACTGGCAACGGACTGGGCTTGTCTTGGCCAAACCAAGCCCAAGGGACTTTCATGTAGGGCTCGCAACGGGCTCGGCTTGTCTTGGCCAAAATCAGGCGCCAATCCCTGTAGGACCAGCCCAAGCCTGGCCTTAACCAGGCCAAAGAGGCATGGTCAAGTCCCTATCCTAGCCCTGCTCAAGTAGGGCCCTATATACTCTTAAGAAAATTTAGAAAAAAAATTAAAAAAAACAAAAGAAAGTTTGAGGCCGGATAAGGCCGGGCAAAGCCAGCCAATTGTGGCTTGGGCTCTAGCCGGGGCCACATATTTTAGCACAATTCTTGGTATTACTTTTTGTTTAAAAAATTATTTTAATAGGTAACTTAATTTTTAAGAAATAGTAAATTATAAAATTTTATAAAAACACAATGATATTTTGTAAGTTAGTGTCTTAAAAATGTATTTATAAAGTACTTTTGTGCTTTAGTAAAAACTTCAATTCTACCCATTATAAAAATGACAAAGTACAACTTGCCTTTATTTTACACAAACACCTTTATTTGGTGAATAAGATACCACAAAAAAATTAACTTTTAAAAAAAAAATATCTCATATTTAGTATATCCACCCAACACAAGTTACACCCATTAACTTTTGTAATTGAAGGGTTGTGAATTGTAGATAATCCTATTAACTAATAATTTTATGGCCTTATCTAATGTCATTAGAATAATTCTTCACAATTTATTGTCTAAACTTTCAATAAATCCAACAACAATACTGACTTAATTGTCACAACAAAAAACACCACAAATTTATTGGGAGTATAAAATGAAACAACAACAATAATGCTAAATAAAAGAACTACATCATTAAATAACAAGAATTGTAAACCAAGGTATAAGATTATCGTTAAAAATAAAAATAAAAAAGATCCATAACATAGGATTGCAATTAACTCAAACAAAACACGAATACCCAAATATGAAAAATAGTAGTCCATCCAAAATGCTATTTTGTATACACCAACGAAATAAAAAAATAAGAAATAAAAATACGAAATTAATCAAACTTCTCTAGCATCAAAAAATAAAAAAAAAATTCTTAAGCAAATTTGTATCTCACATCGAATTCCTAGTTGCCTAAATCTTTTTTTTTTTTATCGTTAACTTAGATTCATTAATAGGAGCCAAGGCTCATGCTTGTAGAGTGTTACAAAGCTAGTAAGAAGAGTGATAGTTTCCTAAATCTTTAGTTTCATTGAATATCCCTCTTGTTTTTTATAAGGATGCTCTGGGTTTAAAGAAAAAAAAAATCATTGGATTACTTATCTTCTAACTCTAACTGTAGGGAGGTTCTAAAATCGATTATCCTCTAATTTCCCTCGCCTCAGGTTGACATCCAGTATCTCTTTAACGATAGTTGTTGAATTTCCATCAAACCTTTCCTTTGAACTGCTCTACTTGAACCTTGATTTTGGGACCCAAAAAAAATCACTTTTAGTTTCCTAATCCTTCAATCTTTTGCATGGACGGATATGCTCATCAGGGTTTTCCCATTAATTGAGTACTCTATATTACACATTAGACATTAGTGCCTTTTGAAGTATGAGGCATGAATGCCTTATTTGGTTATTTGCAAGGGGTGAGTGATCACCCAACTCCTTTTCAATTATCTTTTTCATTACAAATTTTATGTTGCTTTTCAGAGGTTGACTCCATAGTAGGCTCCTTCTCAGTGCTCGAGCTTAGGTGAGACTCTTGCACTATATGAGTGATTAAGTTGGTATCAGATAGCTTTATGGTATGTTGGGAGTGAACAAATGAGGGTTGAATCTCATTAATTGCCCATGTTGTGTCTTTTTCATGAGCGGAGATTGCCCCTATTGAATAGTTTGATGGGCTTATCCCTCCAGGGCTTTTTGTTCTGTTGGGAACTTATTCTACATAAGATGAACTTTTTTTATATGGGGGTGCCCTGGTTATCGGAGTTGTGCTCCTGCCCCAGTTGAGCGATGGAAATCTCTCCTCTTGAGAAAGTAACCCAATTTGGTCATCAACTTTTAATTCCTCGTCTCAGATGGGTGGATCATTTAGGAAGTCTTGTGAAGGTGGCCCAAGTGACTCCCTTATAATTTCTAAAGTTTTGAACTCTGTCGGATCTAGTGAATGTGTCAAATCTTTGGAAATAGTTACATCTAGACTCTTTGCTTCTCCACCATATTTTGAGATATACGATTGCTTTGATATCTTATTTTCAAGGAATATATTGATTGTATTTTTTTTTGTTACACTTTTTTTAAGGGAACTTATTTGTGAATTTTTTATTGGACTTTTTGTTAAATCAAGATTTTTAATTTACTCCCACTATTAATGTGCATATCTTTAAATTAAAATTACATACTATCAAGTTAATGAAGAAATAAAGTTATAGGGACGCAGTTCTTTTGAAAAGTGTTTTTGAAAAAAAGATAAAATACAGATTTATATCGGTTACAAAAACTCTCCACCAATATGAGCATATCAGGGGTTACTAGCTCCTACGATTCGAATACACATCAATTCTCGAGCGCCGCTATTGTCCGCTACATTCAAATAGGTTTGAGCTCGAATCAATTTTTTGTTTTTTTTTGTTTTTGCAAAATATAAAAGAAAATAAATAAATATTTTTTGTCCAGAAAGAAATAAACCAATAATTCTATTTTTCATCACACATATCTCTTAGGTTCCACACGCCCTATTTCGCAATAATGAATTGAGTTTGTATAGGCATGTACAACTACCGAAGACCCAACGACCATGTACCTTGACCGACTCGTGCTCCAATATTCTATTTTATTATTTAACTCCTCGATAACTTATGCACCAAGCATATGAAAATAACGGCGGAGAGATTCTAGTGCGAAGGCTATATCGCCCGCACGGCAGCAGGCCCCTTAACGTAACACAACTGTACAAGTAGGAGGCGTGAAATCCTTGTATGATATCCTTTTGGAAAATTTTCCCTTAATAGGCAGGACATTAACATCGAGCAATTACGAGTAGAAAAACAACCATACAAAGTTTCTTTGCTGTTTGGGTTAATCAATCAGTCAGATTTTAAAATTTAATAGGCTACTCATTTTTTATATTGAGTAATGACTTTACGAGACACTCTGTCATTTATGTGTGTAGGATCCCAAATGATCACTATTAAATTTGACACATATCTTTAAAAAAATTATCACATAAATAAGTGACTTAATTTTTTTTTAGAGCTTGCCAAATTTAATAGTGGTCATTTAAAATCCTACACACATGAGTCTCTTAAGATCATTACTCTTTCTTTATATTTATAAAAGATACATTATTACTCTTTCTTTATATTTATAAAAGGTACATTATTATTCTTTCTTTATATATACAAAAGGTACATTATTCTTGAAGTTTTAAATTATGGAGGATGCATTCTCAAATAATGAAAATGAAAAGGGTTATGTTATTACATCAGGTTACTTGAAGTGGGGTTGAAGATACCTTCTTGTTTCATGGTATTAAGTATTAATCATCAACAAGCTGTTCATACTAACACAAACATTAATAAACAAAATTAGAATAGAGCAAGGATACAACAATAATACTAACAATAATTTATAAAAAATAATAAGAAGGTGACCCAAGCAATTTGTATAGAGTCGAGGCTCTAAACAATCAAATTCGAGCGCGCCTTTGAATAGTGTCGAGAAATTTGGTTTCAGTACTGGAAATCCTTGACTAGCTTTAAAATATATTTTTATATTTAATTATAAAATTTAAAGCTTTAAAAATAGTATAGATTGAACAAATCTATAAAAATTTGAATAGCTTAAAATTGACAGTAAAAAATGTAATACAAGATGTACTATTTTCAAAACTTGAAATCCATTTTTTTCTCAAGTCCATGTATCTTGATGTCGAGATAATTGTTCACAAAATCGCCCGATCTAACCGCTCGGTTAGATCGTGGCCGGTTCCGGTTTTGGGCAGTTAGGGTGATCAATCGGTATTTTCTAAAAAAAAAATTCAAAAAAATGTATATAAATTCTCAAAAATAAATATTTTTATTTGTAATACATTTTTAAATATTTTTTGTTATATGGTAAAAATTAAAATTTATTTTGTTCAATAATACGCACTTTTATATTTTTCCCTTTTTTTTAGAAAATTTTAAAAATAGCCCTTGGAAAATGTAAAATGGGTTAAAATCCATTTTTTTCATTAACTTTCAACTTCATTAGAATGTGTTTTGCTTTAGTCATTCTTTATATATTTTTTATATTTTAGTAAACTTTTTTATATTTTTTTCCTTTTTTTTCAACACTTTTTTTACCCCCGGGACTTGCACGGTTAGAGCGGTTGAATCGGCTTGTTTACAGGTTAGGCCGGTTAAACCACTTCCAGGCCCGTTCCGGTTCGATTTTGCGATCACTGGTCGAGATGATAGTTTTTTAGGATATTTGGGCATCAAAAACAACCTCAAATTTATTTAAGTAGGTTCTAATTTGATTGTTTAGAGCCTAAGCTAAATATAAACTTTTTCCCATAATAATAATAATACTATTTTATTATTATTATTATAACAATAATAATGTTACAGTAATCAGGGTTGTGGTGTGCCTTCGAAGCTACTCTACTTACTGGTAGAGACGACCCGGGAGCTGAAACCAAATCCAAAATTCCAAAGAAGCAAGGTAGGATGTCCGAATCCCCACTTTACCCCTTTCACACTCCAACCCTCATCCCATTTTTGTTCCCCTCCTCTCTCTCACTTGTCTCTCTTGTGCCGTAAAAGAGGAGGTGCAGCACGCCGCGTCTCTCTCTCTTGCATCTCAAGCAAGCCATCACGGTCAGCAATCGAGGTCCTAGAGAGAGAAGAAGAGGGCAAACTAAAGAGCACGGAAAGCGCAAAGAGCGTGTACAGCGCACAAGACCTTTAATACAACCACCGCTTCTCTTTTTTCTCTCTCTCTCTCCTCCTCTTCCTGTGTTAGAGAGAGAAGGGGGTGATGATTATGATGATGTGTTTATTAGAAATAGTGGAGTTGAGATGACATGGTGCAGGGGAGAGGAGAGGGATGGGAGGCGAGAGGAGGCGGATCAGCTCATCGATGGCGGAGGCGGAGCAGGAGCAGAGCACTCGCAGCAACAAGAACAGGAAGAGGGAGAAGGAGGAGAGCGGAGCAGTTGCCCCTCTTGTGGCCACCCCATTCCGTCTTCCCAAAAACAGGTAATCACAATACGCAATGAGGATTATTCGCGGTAACCGAGTTTTGTTTTGGATTGGTGGGCTTAACTGAAAAAATTACATTAAAGAACTGGTAATTAGTTGTAGATATAGAGAGAGAGAGACTCGTCCAAGAGCAGATGGTACTCGTCTGATTTTTCAAATACCAATTAAGAGAGAGAGGTCAAAAACCAAATTCTCAGATACCATTTTAGAGAGAGGGAGAGTAGTCCCAACAGAATGGTCTAGGATTTGAGGAGATTTTGTTCTTTTGCTTTTGGAAATAGTGACATCACAAAAACATAGAGATAGAAAGGGAGGAGGAATAAGACGAGAGGTGTGACAAACATATAGATGGGGAGGGGGAGGGATCCATCAAAGAAATTGTGCAAAAGAGAGGAGGGTTCGAAACAGTGAAAATAAAAAGTAAGACGAGGGCTGGTAACTTGAAAAGGGTTTGTAAAAATGCACTCAATGGAGAGCAAAGCCTCCTAAAATTCATTTCAATAGTTAAAGATGAATCTACCAGAAAGTAAAGTTTGTAAACTTACTCGATAAGATTAAAGGAGAGAGAGAGATGGGTTTCTAAAAATGTTGGAAATTAGAGGTTTTTTGGGAACTGTTTTTTTGTTGGCAGGCGATTCAGAACCTGCCGGGGCTCCCAGCAGGAGTTAAATTCGACCCTACAGATCAGGAGCTCTTGGAACATTTGGAGGGGAAGGTGAGGGCTGACTCAATGAAGCTTCACCCCCTCATCGACGAGTTCATTCCCACTCTTGATGGAGAGAGCGGCATCTGCTCTACGCACCCTGAAAGATTACCAGGTAATCATGCGTAACAATACTCTCTCTCTCTCTCTCTCTCTATATTGTAGGGGAACATAGAAATATGTTGTAGGGGGGAATATAGAAATATATATGGGTTTGTAGAGGAACATAGAAATATGTTGTAGGGGGAAACATAGAAATATACATGGGTTTGAAAGATTATCAGATAGAACTCTATGTTGTTGGGAAACATGCAAATATATATGGGTTTGTAGAGGAACGTAGAAATATGTTATAGGGGGAACATAGAAATATACATGGGTTTGAAAGATTATCGGATAGAACTTCTGTATTGTAGGAAAAACATAGAAATATATATGGGTTTGTCTAGAGTTAATAACCCTCAGAATACAAAGGTTCATAGGAGGAGTTATGATGGGTAATACAAAGGTTCAAGTTAGAAGAAGTTTTTAGGGGTGTATTTATCAAAACAATCATTATTTTTTTAATTAAAAAATTATTTATATAGGTAATTTTCCCATTACACAAAGATAAATTTGAAATTTTTACAAAAGTACAATGGTATTATAGAAGTTAGAAGTTAGTATCTTGGAACTTACAAATTTTTCCTATAAAATCATTTTTTGAAAAAATTTAAAAACAAAATTAATAAATCCACCCTTCACACCTCTCTTTTTCTTGAACCTTTGTATTTG